AACTGTAACTTGGGCTCCTCCAGCTCTCTGACTGTGTGGTGCACTGAGGTGGAAATGGCAGTCATGCGAACACACACGTAGGTAGTTTTGCAGGAGAATCAGAGGACATCATCCATCTCCTCTCTGTACCCTCAGAGGGTATAACATGTCACAATGCAGTCCAACACATGCAGTAAAATTCACCAGAATGACTTCACATTCCTATATTTTTATGGAGTATCCCATCCCATTTTAATGGGACAGAGGTCTGTTGTATTTCTGCCTTGGTTGTGTTTTTTTAAAGTACAGCAAAAACAGCAATGTGAAGAATCCTTCTCCCGGATCACATCTCTGAGAAAAGCTGTTCTTCTACAGTTTGATATGAAAGTAAGCTGTTCAGTATAGAGTGCAATAGCCAGCTATGTTCCTAACCTTCCTTTAGGGTATTATTCCTAAAATCACAATATAGGAGGAGATATTTATGGAGGTGGGATGGATTCAACTTCTTTGAACATTTGCTCCAAGACTGGGTTTGGCTGATGACATTCATCTCTAGAATCAAGTCTAATGAATAAATAAAATAGGTGCCCTGTATAAAAGGCTTGATAAACCATTCATCAAGATATGATAGATTCACATTATATTCTCAGATACACCCACATAAATACAGAAAAAAGTAAATCTGTTTCAGTAAGACTATTCATATTATCCAGTCTGGACACCTGAATATGACAAGTTAAGAAAATTAATTCAGGTAAGTACAAAAGCTGTGGGTGGTTCATTTTAACACTTTCCAGGAGAGCTTACTCTAGCCTGACAATGAGGCAGATGAAATCAAAATCTATTCTACAATATACTGTGTAAAGAGCAAGATTTTCAGCCATAGGATTGTGGAAATCAGGCTAAAATTACACTGTTCAGTGTTGGGAGACAAAATTTCAGCTAGCAAAAAAAGAAAAAAAAAACAGCTCGACTACACTGACTTCAGTGGAGACATCCCAAATAGTATCAGCCAGGAATCTGGCACTGTTATAAAAAAGGTTTAGTTTGCAGGGTACCATTGTTAAATCTGGTACTTTTAGTTAAGATACATATCTTCTTGCAGACTGTAACAAAAGAAACAACCAAAAAAGAATTTTAACAAAGGGCATCACTCCAGGTAAGTGTCAAAGAATAAACCAGCTCTCTAAAAGAAGGTGAAAAAATGTAGTCCTTGACACACTATGATGTAGAAATGGATGAACTACCAGAGGTACAAGTCCATAGAATGGTATAATTACTTCCTTTATATCTTTCCTCTCTTCTGATTATGTATGTATATTTTAAAGGTCCTCCATCCTTCAAAAGGGCATAGGAGGAGGGGCACTGGCTTTGTATAGTTCCTGGTAAGAAATCCTAATCTCAACACTGGCATAAGCTGGAGGTGTCTATACATTTGAGCACTTCCTGTTTTCACTTTGTGATCAAATATGTTCTTTGCAGGGAAAATAGGGGAGCACTTGAGGGAGGAAAGCAGAGATGTCTGAGAGGCTAATTGAGTGTACTAAGGAATCCTGGGTGTAGAGGAAAAGGGGTCTTCCAAAGCTATGAATAAACTCGTGGCTTGGGTCAGATTTCTTGTTGTTTCTTTTCTTTAACCACCTTTGAACTCAAGTAAAAACAGCCTTAAATGTCAGGTTTACCTTTCTGATGTTGTAATTTTTATGTACTATTGAAAAGCTTATACTACCAGACCAGGATTTCCTCTACTTTCTTAAACACTGGATATTATCCAGAAATAGCATACACAATTCCAGCCAATTCATCCTTAGATCTTTCATCTTCTGGTACTGTTGTAATTCCAAATATAAGACAGAGCTCAGTAAGTGAACGAGAACACGACAGAAGCTCCCGCTCCTTGCATTTGATTTCCAACAATAAAAATGTGCATGTGTATCCTATTTCAAATATAATTAAAATTAGTGCAAAATGGAAGCTGTGATAGGGGCTAGAAATTGTTTTGAAAGATACAGCCTGTCAGACACATTCATCCTACATCAGTGTTCAAGTGCCTGTCTCTTCAAAAAAGCCACTTAGGCCATTCAATTTTTAAAATTGACTGCCTTAGGAGTTTGCAAACCGATTGAATAAAGGAAAAAAATAGCATTTTATTTAAAATCATAAGTAAATACAACTAGTCAGAACTGAGTTACTCTTTTGGAATTTGACAGTCTAAAGGACTTTCAGGTTTAATCCATGACATAAGAGATGAACTGCCTGCCACTGCCTCTCCTTCCAGGGAAATCAGAGGTTAATGATTTTTGTCATATTGAGACTAACAGCTAACAATTGCTACAGTTGGCCTTTAGTATTTTATTTGTCCTTTTGAGGTATTCAGAATAGGTGACAATGGCTTGCAGTTGAGAACATATGTAGAGAGACCCCTGTGGCTTATGGAAAAGTTGCTCCATGCTGGTTGGGTGTTTGTAAAAAAAATACATCCAGAGCTCTTTTATGTTCCCCTCCTTAATGAATGCATGAATGTCAAAATGTACCAATGGCCCATTCAGGGGGCAAAGCCTAAGCAGCTCCTTCTTTAAGAACACATCCTGAGACGTAAAATACATTTGCTTAACAAATTAAAATAATGAGATAATTCAATTAGTTTCTTTAAAAAAAAAGGGAGGAAGAAAAAAGGGTACATCAGGGGATTATTGTAATACATGAACAGGTCATACAGCACAAAGGAGGAACAAACCAATTTGAAATAAGGTTAGACTAGTAATGAAGGAATGTACATTGAATCATGGACCACCATTGTAAAGATATTTACTTGAAACAATAAAATTGTACATCACAGATTCCCCCTTCTGGCTCAGCCAGCATTGCATTTTGAATGGGCAAGCTAATTTGAGAAAAAGTGTGGGATCTTTAAAAGAAAGGAGCTCTCTTCCTTCCCTGCACGTGTTTATGGCAAGAATCTTTCTGAATTTACATTGCACTGGTCAGGGGTCTCCATTATCAGTTTGCAGGTCTGAGAATTACAGCACAGTAAATCTTTCAACACCTGCAAACTCATTAAAGCCTGGATGGTAAAGGGTTTGAGGCTTTTTCGTGTTCATTTAATCTGATTTCTGTGAGGCCATCCTCACCAGTGGTGGCAAATTTCCTTAATTCATGCAGGATGGAGAGGGTCAGGAGAAAGAATAGAAACAAGGAAAAGGGATTTCAAAAAGCCAGGACGACTTTCCTCAGGACAAGCAAGAGGCAGTTGACTGTTTAATAAGCAAGTGTCAAATGCTTTCAAGGAGCACATAAGAAAGAAAGGCAGGAAAAAAAACCCAACAAGATACCACAAATTTCATAAGAGGAAATGGAGTTAGTACAGAGATGGCTATACAAACCAAACTTATTTGTGGCCCTGCTTTTCTCTGTCTGCCTGTAATACTCCTCTAAAGATACCCTACAGCTAAATGAAAAACCTTCCACTCACACTCACTCGACATCCAAATTAAAAACATTTTACAGGTTAGTAAATCTCCAGCTGAGGTGATGTAGCAAAGAACAGCTGTGAAGTAATTTTGATAATGATGAGAATAATAAGCACATGGCAAGGTTCAGGGCTTTGCTGTTGCAGCTTCAGTGCTCCTGAATAGATAAAAGTGATTAAATACTCCTGATTATCCTTGACCAATATGTAATGGATTTACAGCCCTTTCAATTAGTCAGTATTTGCTTAGGACTCATTATTTTGTCTTTGGTTAAGTAATCAGCCCAGAGACTCATGTTCTGTCTAATTCCTCTGAGCCAAGTGGGTACAGGGCACCTGACCTTTGAAATGGCCATAGCTGGGAGGCAGGAATAACCACTACTCCAGCGGAGACACTGGCTATTCCAGCTAATCCTGACCCCACAGGCCAGATCAATGCACCTTAGTTTGCTACTAATGTCCTTACATCAAAATGATGGTTTAGAAATGTGAATCTGTCACTCCCCCCTTTAGCTGTGCTGCTAGCAGAGCAGTTCAATAGTCCCTATCATAAATAGATCGGGTCCTGAAATCATTACTCAGTAACCAACATCAGCTACCGAGAAAATTTGTAAAACTTTGGTAGAAAAAGAGGTAGTTAACTACAGTTAGCTTTTTAAGCCTTATCAAGTGAGAAACAATTGTAAAGTGAAAGGAAGAAGAAAATCAATTGATAATTTTACCAGTTTCCATTATTTCCCACATGAAATAAACTACAAACAGTGATACTAGATTTTCTATTGAACCGTGTTTTGATGCCTAAGTGAAGCTATAATGACAACAGAACACCAACACATAAAACTAATAGTAAGAAGAGGATAAAGACAGACCACAGAAAGCATTGCTATGTCACATATTTAATCTCTCTCCCCCAAATGTGATTATGGCTAGTTTTTAATATTAATGGACTTGAAGAAAAGCTAAAAAGGTGCTTATTCTCTCTGTTACACAACTGAAAAATTAGGGAATCTGGAAGCCTTCTATATTTCTCACAAAAAAGTAACAATGACAAGTTTACAAGCTGCTCCTTTGACTCCCTAACATCCACAGTGTACGTCAGCACGCACAGACCAGGGCTCCCTCTTTCACCACATACATATGAAGTTTGTGTAAACAGAGGCCAGCAATAAACAATCCAGAGGGCAGAACTTTATATGTGCTAAAGCAAGAACCCCCCTTTTGTTGTCTGTAGGAAGATTTTGAATAGTTCAAAGCCAAAATTGGTTACTTCATATATAGCTGGTGTTCCATGCTAAGGCGTTGTACTCTCTCTCTTTTTATTTCTATAGGCATGTATATGTGTATATATACACACACACATATAGATAGATTTCTTTGAGATTTGTCATGATTCCAAGACCCAAGAAAAAAAAATCTGGAAGAAAAAAAAGCAACAAAAACTGAGCCCTAGTAATGGTCCAAAAATTATGGGGACAATTGATTTCTAGTAATGATTAAAAAACCTCATTAGGCACATGAATAGAAATCTGTTTTGGTTTTGGGCACCACTTACTGTGAGATGCTGGAAAAGCCACGCTCTCATGATATTTGTTGCTACTTTGGGGAAAATGCCTCTTTTCTTCTGACGTTTTTTGTCCTTGTCTGGATCATCATCATCTCCTGTACCAGGTGAGGCTACACTGTTGTCTAAACCATCTCCTACAACAAAGAGAAAAACAGGAAGGAGGAGACGTTTAATGAACAAAATATAGAAGCCAAAAAGTATCATTAAGTACCAAGTCACTACCGCAGTTTGCTTGGGGTTTTTTTTGCTAGATCAGGCACATGTATAAGAACATTATAAAGAACACTGATACAAATATGTAAAAATTAAAAACTGTGTCTCTTCAAATACTAATTTTGGTTTCACACATGCATATATCATTAATTCAATTATAACTGTGTGCTTGACATAGTGCAATAGCTCTTTGTCAATTATCGGATTCAATGTGGGAAAACCTGCCACAAGAAAACCCATTTACTGTAAATGCATCCCTACAACCATTCTGAATATATACGTATAAGTAATCAAGTTAAATGTTCTGTAGTCTATATATTCAAGGCTCTCTGCAGAGGTGGCAGTAACCATGTCACTGTTCAGTGCACATAACACACTGTCAGATGAGCCACTCCCCGTAACCATCACCTCCCAGCACACATACATACGCACTCGCAAACACGTACACCTAGCATGACCCTGCATATAGCATTTGCATGACATGAAAACTTCTACGTCTCTGCATCAGTGATTATTATCATTAAAAGAAAAGATGCACATCAAGGTAGAGCTCTCACTTAATCAGAACTTTCCATCAACATCTTTCTCTTCTGTGCTTTTTCCTGGCATTAATTGTGCATTAGCAAAAATCATTTACTTTTAACAGTCATAGTTATTTTTTCTTGCCCTCCAGCAAAAATGCCTTGAAAGCCTGCCTGGAGGGCATCTAAATTATGTATCTGAAAAACTCTTCTGGCAAGGCATTGCAGGACCCCTACTTTCTTAAAATTCATACGAGCACGTCTTCCTGTTTTTGGGAAGGCATCAATCAAGTGCAGCAATATATGCCATATTCCTGCATTAATATTTGAACTAATAACTTTAAAAAAAGGAAAGAAACAAGATCCGACTTGTGGCATAATCAAATGCAAAATAAATGAAGAATACTGGGACAGCACTGAGACTTTATAGATTGCTGTGTTTTCCTTACACATCATTAGCCCGGAGCCACACGAAAGAGGAAAACAGAGAAGTGGAGAGTTTATGCTCCCTGCTGGTGTTTAAGAAGCTGAGGTCCTGGAAGGACATCTGGGAATTGTGCTGAGACGGTGGTTTTTGTAATTTAAGAATAGACATTCATTAGCAGTAAATGCCATAAATCCCATGCTAAGTAAAAACCTTGTCCAAGAAAGCCTAAAACAATAAACTCTGTGCTCAATGTAGCCTGAGCTAGACGGTCCATAGCTTCCTGAGGAATGCTATAGATTCACAAGCTAATTCCTGTAGCCTCGTCTAGATCTGTAGTGCTACTAAAAGAAATACATTGCTGCTACATACAGTCCATTTGCTTCAAAACTTGCATTTCAGCTCCATCTTCCCACGCCAGATCACCCTTCTTGTACTGCCTCCCCTCTGAAAAACCAACCCTTTTGGACCGGAGAGAACAGAAAAAGCCACAGCAAAGAGCTGGCAGATTAATTTTATTGACATTTCCATTTTCGCTGCAATGTGATACCCTCCATCACATGGAAGAGATGACCCTCACTATTTACAGACTGACAGGCCACTTCATTACAACCACGCTGCCCCAAGGCAGAGCAGCTCCTTTCCATCTGCCCAAACACCAGAGCAAGACCCTAAAGTCGCTGCTCTCTTTCTCATGCTCTGTTTTCTTTTTTTTTTGTTTTTTGGTTTTTTGGTTTTTTATTTTGTGTTTTGTTTTCTTTCTGTTAATGATAGAGAAAGGAGAGCCAAATCACAGTAAACTAATCAAAGAGATTACGGAAGCTCTAAACTCTGTAACCAACTGTTCACTCTTGCAATAAATTGGTTATTTAGAAAGCACTCCTTTTGGCTGCTCTCTTCCCCTCCATATAATCCATCCTACTCCTCTGTCTCTCACAGACACGCGTGCGCACGCACACATACACACACACACACACACACACACACACACACTTTCCACTATGCCAAGGAACTGCTGCAAGGCAAATTCTCACAAACACTAATGGCTTCTGACTGCTCCTTGGCAACCCCAGCATTTTAACCTGGGTGGATATGCTCTCCAAAATACAGACACTGGAGCTATCTCATCAGCTGTTCATGTGACACAGATGGAGAGTGGCTATTAGGAGCCAGGCAATGGGCCTTGGGGATCTGAGGTGCTGTACTGTAGCCTCAGGCAATTTTGAAAAGCAGTACCCGGAGATGGGGGGAAAAAATCCCTACTGAAAGTGCAAGTTTGAAGTCAGTCAGTTTGTTTGTCTATCTGTCGTGCGGATAAAGATATCTTTGTCTCTTTATGTAAAAGCAATGCGTGTATGCACAGGATGCGTGGAGCTGTAAAACTTCTGCTCTGCACCATCTTTTCAAACCACAGAAGCACAAGTTCACTCTGTATGGACAAATTCCTGTCTATCTGCATATACATTCTCTCCTGTATGTGAGCATCCTCAGTAGGAGTCGCCTACATGCTAAATCAATGGACCTTTTGAAGAGGTTATTATTATCCTAGTTTTAGAAAGCTAGTAGCAGCCCAAGAAAGGAAAGTTTAGCTAAAGCTCCCATTGCCCTCCCACCCTAATCAGCAGCTGAAATTGTAAGAGTTGGTGCCTCCTTAATTTGTTCCATAACCCCATGAAAGGAAATTCAAATGTTGTACCTCCAAATTATATGAGAAAAAAAAATACGGTGAGATTTGTTGCTCCTGGTGAATCACTAGCCCAATCCTGTGTAACCTGTCATATCTTTAATAGGACTACAACTGCTCACATTAGTGGATACAGTTTCTAATAGGAAGACATCATAGAAATAGCTGTCCCATAAACTGTCTTTTCCAAGATGGAATGATATACTTCTTGCATATAGAGGGTCTGATCTTTTAAATATATCCAAATAAATATCAGTTACGTTAAATGAAGAAAAATAAATTACCAGAACTGAAATAAAATTAACAGACAGGAAAGTCACTTTATGGTATACTGGATTAACTATATTTTAACTACTCTATGAAGGAATCAAAATTTAAATAATTTAAATCATAATTACAAGTGAGTCTGCTTATGTGATCTGTTCATATCCCGGATTGGAAGAGTAGAGTCAAATCCTAAATTGTATGGAAATTGCAATTGTACAAGCATAGTTATCCCAGTTTTCTAGAGGAGAAATTAAGCCTTGATTTTGGCCCACTGTCTCTCTATTTCACCAGCACCAAAAAAAAAAACGATAAAAAATTAAGGATGGCTTTCTCCTCTTTCCATACTGTTCACTCCTTTATTCTCTTGCAAAGAGTAGAAGTGATTGCAAAACCCTATCACTGTTCTAGGAAAGAGGAGAATTCTTAAAAGTGGCACTCTCTTTGTGGAGGTGTCAATGAACTATGCAGAATTCAAGCCAGTAGAGAATTAGGCATTTTACCCAGATTGTTTAAGATAACAGTAATGCTATGAAATAGTCTCAGTAACCCTTATAAAAGATGGAGAGAGTTTACAAGAAACTTTGTAAAGTGACCCACATGGGGTTCCTTAAAGACCGCCTCTTCTAGGGGAAGGTTTTGTAGAGGAGGCTGAAGATGCAAGTCTTCTTTACACAGTGTGAAGTTGGGCTTCCACACTAGCTCTGTGTTCTGGCACTCTTAGCATATGTTGAGTTGCCTTCCACAAGATAAATTGTTTTGCATTGAAAGCAAAGGAGACTACCACTTTTAAAAAATATCAAATAAATACTTACAGAAGGGTTTCCACTGCGCCATAATTCCAACTTAACTTGCTGCAAACTCATTTCCTTGGACAGACAAGCTTGCTGACCCCAATGTTCATGCACTAAGGACCCTTCAAGAAACAGAGTCCAGTTCTACAGAAAGTCTGTCCAACCTTATTGTATCAATGAATTCTTCTCTGTCGGTCCTCCACACTATCACTATCACTATTATCTCAACCCTTCTCAAGTCTTTGCTTGTGTTCCCCAGAGAGTAAAGACCCAGCAACAGATGAAACAAGTGTTGTTTAGAAGCTGCTCATCTTGTGTTTTCACAACTTGTGAACAAGACAAATAACAAATTCCCAATCTATGCAAAATGATAACTGAAAAGGACAACCTAGTCAGGCCAAAGCACAGCAGCCTGGTAACAGTCCAGATTCAAACTATAGAAATAGTTCCTGTTACCATTATAACAAGTAGAGCAGTTGAAAAAGTGATTTCTGGAAAAGTACATTTCAGCACCCAATGTTTGAGTTTCTTCACCATCAGAGGTCCCTTTTCTAAAAATATTGGAAGCAATATGAAAAGCAAGCTAAAGGATTCTGAAAATGAAAGCTGCAGTGTACTATGCTGATCTTAAGTAAGCTCCTCTACAATCTTGCAGTCTAATATTTTGATGGAGTGGAATATGTAGATATAAATGCAAAACAAAGAAGAGACTGCATGTAGCCTATATTCACAATTTGCCATTATTTGTTTGTTTGTACTTATAATGCATCCTTCTGGACACATAAGTATTTTAAACCATTATTGCTAAGGACGTTCAATTTAGTAATATAATCCATATCACCACCAGAGAAAAATCTTAAAAATCTGGTAAATTACCACTGCCAAAAAGCTGGAAAGAGAAGTGTCTGAAGAAGTTTTTGAAGATAAGATAGTCTGTGTTGTAGGGAGAACTAATAGAGAGGGAAGATCAGCTCCAGAATAAAAGACCCTTCAGGAGAAGTCCTTATCTCCATTCCATCCGGTTAAAATCATCAGGCTTTTAGCCTTACAGCTCCAGTAGATCACAGCCCTTTGAATAAAGTCCTGGCTATGGATTGGGGTTTTTTTCCTCCTCTTAATGATCCCTGTTCAAGGAAGTTGACTTAAGTCTCTTCACACCACAGAAGCCGTACTTGTCTCCTGCAGCTTACTTCCTAGGGAAACTGAGTAAAGATGGATTATGGGTGGCAAACCT